TGTGTACTTGTGGTTTAAGTGTGTAGCGGACCTCTGGTTGGCCTTGTGAGACCAGCCCCTTGACCTGTTCTCACAGGCCTGTGTTGTATTCGGGGTAGTCCTGTCCAGGCCGGTACCTCTGTCGGTACCAGCCAGTCCAGTCCAGTCCAGTCAGTCCGCTGGGGTATACCCCATCTGTTGTCTGTTTTCCGGATCATTCTACATTCGCACAGTTTGGAGTACGTGCGTTGGAGTCTAGCGTGGGAGCTGCGCTGTGCCATCTCGCTCCCCCCCTTCTTCCTCCATCTCCATCTCTATCCCAGGCGGAGCACCACACCTGGTGGGTCCGCCACATTGGTATCGGAGCGGGATCCACCCACCCTAGTCATCCCGCTGTTCGGTAGTGGATGGCGCTGTACTTTCCCGGTTGGGAAAGTAGAGCAGAAGATCTGCCCGCCATCATTACGGGCGCCACGGAGTTGCAGCAGGCAAAAAGCAGCATCTCGTAGGCCAACTGCAATCATTGTGGGCGGCAGTAGTGCTTGGCCGCTTGTGCAAGAGGGGCCGAAGCAGCAAGCTCCGCCAGCCCAACTGCCGACGCTGTCAAATTTCGGCTGCGAAAATTTGCGTTTTTGCGTGATGGTGATCACGCACTTTGCGGCGCGTGGGATTTGAACCCGGGCAGACGGCGGTGGCAGATGTTACGGGACGGTGTGATAACCACTGCTGTGACGCACGTGCAGAGGGCACGTGCGGGGATGGTGTGTGTGTGAGAGAGAGAGAGAGAGGAGATGGACACACACGAAGCAGCAACAGAGTGAAGGTCCAGTCTGGCTCAATGGAAGAATGAATGAACAACTGAATGAACCAGCCTCCCGCCCTGGGCCTAGGCCGAAGTGATATACCGGCCTAGGTCCAGGTACGGAGCAACCTGGTACCGGACCAAGGTCAGGCCGACGGCCTGAAACTGGTCCGGCCTCACTGCCGGGTCGTAGGGGTACCGCTACACGATTCTCGAACCTGTGAATGGATGAAGCGATACATCAAACACGCTATCCGCTGAAATAGTGGAAACCCAAAAGGAACGGCAAAAGAAACAATCCTAGATACGGAGCAGGCTCCATGCAAGAAAAGGGATGCAATGCAGACTAAGCCTCAAGCCTAATCTATACAATAATGTCTGGTCTGTGTCGACCCAAAACATAGAATAATGTCTGACCTGTGTCGGCCAAGAAAGAGAAAAATGTCTGACTTGTGTCGGCCAAGAAAGAGAAAAATGTCTCATGAGCCAAATAGGCTGAATATAAATCAACACCAGGGCTCTAACGGCCAAAGAATAGCTAAGCCAATGTCCTACGTCAAAAAGAATATGGCACAATATCACGTGTCCTGTACATAATGCACAATACCTGAACAAAAGAGAAAGGAACTTAGTCGCATGGCAGAGGTAGGAATGGGTGGGAAGGCGGCAAGTACAGCTCTTAGAGTAAACTCCAAGGGGGCACCCACACAACCAGGTAAGGGTCATCAGGCTCAGAGGGAGAGTAATAGTACGACACCGGGCTCAATGGAAACCATCAAACGGGTACCGCCAGCTGAAAGGGGGAGGGCACTCACACAAGGGAGCACACATAAGGTGAACCTGGAAGGAAAGAGAGGAGTATGCCAGCATAGACATGTGGCCAAAAGCCGCGAGCAAAGAAAACGTACACTCCAGAGGAGGGCGCGCAACATAAGGTAAGGCAGAAGGGCGGCACGTGGACACACCCACATAGATAGGGAAAATAGGGGTCATCATGCGACTGGAGGGAGGGGTAAGCTCGAGGGTAGTGGATAGGTGGGAATGGTGGGAACTCTATAGCCGAAAAAGTGAAGTAGTCCAACTGATGAGTCTCCAGACTGAAGTTGAACCGAAGTAGCCTTGATGAAGTAGGAGTACCGCAGAAACCGAGTAGAAGTCCGGAACAATGCGATAGGTACTCTGGTACTGAGGAGAAACACTGAGGTCGAAAGTCGAATGTAGAAGCCGAATGTAGAAGCCGAATGTAGAAGCCGAGTGTAGATACTAAAACCGGGAGCTGCTGCATAAGTGTCCAGGAATGGTAAAGGATAGAGAGCGTATGAGGGGTATAGATCAGTCATGATAATGAGAAGGAAGTCGATGGGTACGCTGAGGGCGAGAGGAATCAACTGCAACAACAGGCGGAACCACATCCACAGGGGAAGGAGGACCTGCAACAGGTACCGGTGGAGCAGGAGGACCCATCGATGGAGGAGGGGGAATGTTAGTGGTCGCAGAGGTAGATGGGTCAGTAGTAGAAGGACGAGAAGTAAGGGGGGAGGATGATGAAGAGAAAGGATGAGCACGATCGTAAGCACGCACGAAAGTCATACCATGCTTCAGGTGCTCAAAAGGCTCCCAAGTAGACTCCTCGTCATGATAAACCTTCCATCGAACGAGATACTCGAGGCGAGGAGGGTCGCCATCAGTCATACGCCGGGATGCAATATCAGAGACGACGAACTCCTCGTGACCCTCAATGATGATGGGAGAGGGGTGAGGAATAGCTGAGGATAACGTCGACCGTGGAACTCGGGAGGGGACTGTTTGAAGGGGCGCAAAAGAGATACATGGAACACGTCATGTAAGTTAGCGCGGTACATGGAATTGGGGAACTTCAACTTGAAGCTCACCGGACAGTCATGATTGGGTCCGGCGGGTGCAAGAATGGTGCATGGTCCAATATATCGACGTCTGAATTTTCGAACTGTGTCAGCTTCGGGTTGGAAGTGACGTGCGTCGTCAAGATCTCGTCGCCAGCTTTGAAGGGATGGTCGATGCGAGAGCGGTTAGCGTGAGTGGCCATGCGAGTCTGGGAGTCACTAATGCTCTCGCGAGCCTTGCTCAGAAGCGCATCGTCTCCTTTACCCAGTCACCAAGGGCAGGGCATTTGGTGTCGGGATGGATCTGAGATGGACGGAGAAGGTCAGATGGGACACGAGGATGGTATCCCAAGTCACAGTAGTAGGGAGACATGCCAGTGGCAGGTGAAATAACATGGTTATAAGCAATCTTTGCGTGAGCAAGATGCAGATCTCAATCAGAGTCATTCTCAACAAACTTCTTGAGGATACTCCCAAGAGTTTTGTTGGTAACCTTGGTCTGTCCATTTGACCGGGGGTGATAGGAGGAGGAGAAGTGGAGCTCGGAGCCATAGATCTCATAGAGTCCACGCCAGAAATGAGAAGTAAAGCGGGGATCGCGATTAGAGACGATGCTAGTGGGAAGACTGTGATGGATGGCAATACGGTTGAAGTATAGGGAGGCGATGTCTTTGGCTGAACTAGCATACTTGCAAGGGAGGAAGTGAGCATGCTTAGTCAACCGACAGAGAACGACGAAGATGGCGTCGTGGCCTCGTGGGGTAGGGGGACGAAGAGGACCGATGAAGTCCATGGAGACAGAAGTCCAACGCTGAGTGGGAATGGGTAAGGGTTGAAGAAGACCGTAGGGGGGTGGTTGGTTGTGTATCTTTTCAACAGAGAACGAGCGAAATTCAATGCCCGAACACCCGTTTAACGGATCTCCAGACCTCCGTTGAATCGCGTTGAATGCAAAAACGGGGGCTTCGCGTCGAATTCCGAAAAACGGAATTCGCTCGTTGGGCCTCGGACACGTGTACCTACGTGCCCGAACACTCAAACCGGGAAAAAAAAATATTTTTACCACCCCCACATAACACCCCTCGG